CTTAAGCTTCAGGGCTGACACACAAATACATACTGATAGCTATTATCTCTTCTATGGCACACAGGAGGATATATGGTAAACCTAAGTATGATGTATAGTTGTCCTTTAACATTGAAAGGAAATAATTATCTTGATACTTAATGTGTTGAATAATCCTCTTTCTTAATACCTTTTGATTAAAATGAAGTGCTCACATAAACATTTTGAATTAACAGCAAGAGTAATCAAGAATTCAGATATTTGTATTTATTGAATCTAAATCTTTACTGTTTATGTTAAAGTTTTTTGTTTATCTCTTGAGGTGATGTAATTCTCAAGACTATTCTTGTGTTTTAATGAATAGCTAAGGTCTGTACTAAGGTCATCTACTTGAAGTTAAGCTGTAATTCAATAAAGTCTAGAATGCAATTTGGTCATTCCTTATTAAACTTCATAGTTATCCACAATAAGATAAAAGGAATATACTGGTTACATTATATTTATATGGTTTTTGCTTTGATAAATCTAAAGAAATATCAATAATGTAAATAATTAACTTGAATAATATCATTTACAACAATTTCATGATTGAGTAAAATCTATGTCAGGAATAAAAAATGAGTGCTCAAAATTTAAAGCCAGAACTTTGTGATTTTGAACTCACCAACTTTACAAGGTAATTTTCTAAATTATATTGGTCATTGAATTAAGGATGTTTCTTTTTTTTATTTCATAATTTTATTAGATTATTAAATTTAAATTTAAAAATCTCTTTGCAGTTACTCATAAAGTATGTATGTGTCTAAAGACTTCTTTCCAAATTTGTTTTTCTTTTATTGCTTTTCACATATTGTTTTCATGAATCATTTCAAATTTAAATTGGATTCTATCACTTTGAGACATATTTTCTTATAAATTTAGTCCTCAGGTTATAATATTCATAGGAGAAATTTATTTTTATTCTGCTTACTCTTTTATAAATTTCTTTGGCTATGTAATTCATGCCAGTTATAGAAACAGCTACCTTGGGAAAAATTCAATTATTGTAGTGACATTATAAAAAGTGAGAATCAGTGATGAATTAGTTTTCCATTGTATTACTTTCTGAAGAAAAGTTGACATGATCTTAGTTATTCTCGGCTCTGTCCTTTTTGAGATAAGATTGGTGATTTTTATCTTTGAAAATACAATTTTCTGAGATAATTATTTTTTTTTAAATTTATATACTTGTGTAACATGCAAGCCCCAAATTTTCACTTATAAAAAGTGATTTTATCATGCAAGTTCCTTTTTTGTGACCAAATTACAATAGACTAACCTCTTTTCCTCTATCTCTTTATCTTCTAGTTAAATAAGTTAAAAAAAGTAAAAGAGAATTATAAAAGTATCATTAGTAATGCTGTACTTGTACAGCCATAAACAACTGAACAAGAAACAGTTAAACATCTTATAAACGTAAACAATGGAAAAGATGCATATTCTCTATATAATTTATAATACAATATTAATATGTGGATATTATATGCATTATTATTGAATACAGTTAAATAAAGCAGCAGTTTTATTTTAAATACAGCTGTACTTTTTGACTACAGTCAATGGATATATAGTTGGTCAACAGCATAGCCAGGGTGAGCAGTACATAGGCTAATTTTATATCTTGTGTATGATGCAACCCCATCTTCAAAATTAGGTCTTCAAAAGTTGCATGTTATGCAAGTATATATGGTACATAGATTTCCATAACATATTTTTATATAAAAAACAATATTTTCTTGCTACTATAGTTTTCTCAGGGGAAGGTATATGCTTTGATCCTTCCTTCAAATGAACCATGAAATTTATCTAAAATAATTTCTGATAGGATGGATTTAAATAACTAAATTTTGTTTAAAAAAAAGTATTCATATTGGATTGATGTCTGACATAACATACAAACATTTACTAATCTATTATTGTGCATATGTTATACCATCACTACTATGCTATTTTTCTATATAGCTGCAATTAAAATTGAAATGTTCTTTTTCCATTAAGGCACATGTACATACATATTCTACTAAAAAGAACATGGTGTTAAGAGACTGGAACCTCCTATATATCTTTGCACCAACAATATGGCAATATGTAGAAACACTTTCTGGTTAAATGTTGTTTGAAAGACCCAAACAGATGATAGTTCTGATGTGGTAAATGCAGTAAAACATCCTAACTATATCACTGGAGACCACACTTTTGTCAGATTGACGATGGTTATTGTTTTGTAGCAGAATGATACTCTTATGCAAACAGCTTCTCTCAGTCTGTTCAGTGTTTCATAGTGTCAACTGTTTGATCTCAGAACATAGGGGTCATCAATTTCTTCAACAAGTATTGAACTTGGAATTGTGGAGAGGTTGGTAACTATGGAGGCTTCCAGGTCATGGGATCAAACTTTGTCTCCAGTGTAATGTGATGTAAAATCCTTATCAGCTACTTTCATCAGTTCAGACTATTACATTTAAGACCTACCATATCATGTTCACAGGAGTGAACCATTCTCATTCCCTTCATATTCCATTGATAAGAAGGAAGTTTCATTTGGATATCTTCCCAAATGCCACTGCTTTTGGGAACAGAGTCCTGAAAGGATACTTTCTTGACAAATATGATCTTAACTTCAAGTTCAAGGTCAACCATTCTATTCTACAAATCTCCATAAGCTACAGTTTTTATGTTCATAAAACAGCCCCATTCAGTAATCCTCTACCTGGAGTGGCTCTTGAGCTTTGTATTAGGTGAACAATTACATTAAAAAAAAAATCTTTATATTGTTCCAAAAGTTGAAAAGAAATGCCTATGCTCTGAAACTTGTTTTTCAGTCGATTACTTTTAAGACTTAAAGTTGTTTTTTTTTCTTTTTACATTTTGCATTTTTGTTTTCCACTGTTTTATTATGACATCATATATGCCTATAACAGCTCTTTTGACAACAGGGGGTATGCTTGTGCTTGCAGCTTTCACAGTGTTTTAGTTTCCGTCTATGCCTATCTGTACTTTACCATTTACACATCCCTTGTATATTGGGATCAATATAGTTGGATGCTTTTTAAATTTTCCTTGTTATTTGTTACTGGTAGATAACTGTTTTCAGTCATACAATATACAAAATAGGCATCTATTGGTGAAACAATTGCATTTCAAATATTTACATCATAGTGCAGAGAAATATGAGACAAAAGTATGATTTTAGAAAGACTTATAAAGTCAATGAGTACAAATTAAAAATTGAAAAAAAGAACACAACAGTGATGACACTGCCAAAGTGGTAACTGAAAATTTCAGTTAATAACATTGATGAATTTTAGATTCAAATTTTCATTTTTTTCACCACATTTACATGAAAGTAAATGGGTTTTTTAATAGTGATTTTATAAATTAGCATAATTTTTATGCATAAAATATGTAAACATATATTGCTATGATTAATGATAATAATAAAGAAATCCTGAGTTTTTGGTACTACAGAACATATTCTTGAATGGATTTTATTTAGTGTCTATATTTTATTCAGATCAAAAACATTTATTTATAACTCATTCTCTTAGTATCCACTTGACTTCTATTGATAACTCTCTATGGTCATTAAATTTTCATTCTGAAGACATCTTTTTGTACCATCTTGTGAAAATAATAATGAAGTAAATTATGTTGATTATTACTACTACTATTATTGTTGTTGTTATTACTATAGACTGTTTTAGCAAACCCACATTAACATTTGCTTACAAAAGAAATTCAAATTATGTATGAGGAAGTGCTGAAAAGTTCCTTTTTTAACTCACTTCCAAAAATCTGAGCAAATAACCAAGCAATAATTTTTTTCATATTTTTTTAAGGTCGTCTTGTTCATATCAACTTTTCATCCGCACCTGTTGATTTGTATTAAAATATTTGAAATAGCATATTGCATGCAATTCATTATTTTAGTTAGCTGATAGAAATTCCAATCACAGCATTCTCTCTTGATCACAGTAGAAATTGTACTTTTGGAAATTGTATAGGTTTTATAACAATATTTTTGGAGATTATTGTATACTACAACAGATCTGAACTCCAACGCTATACATTTTGAACATTTGCTACTTAGGTTCTTTAATTACCAACACATTTGGATATATTTTTATGTGATAAAAAAGCAATGTATCTTATAGGCTAGCAAATACAGTATGTTTCAGTTGGTAATCTTTGAAATACCAGTTTTAACCCAGGAATAATGATATTGAAAAATTATGTTGTAATTGCAAATAAGCTAATATTTAGCATTTATTCTTTCAATGGCATCAAAAGATTAACTGAAATAAAATTGTTTAAGGAAAATGAACAATTATCATGTCAGTATGAAAATGTTTTTATGCTACTTTAGCTTTTTTTTATTCTTGTTCATGTCTCTAGTATCAATTTAGTTGTAAATAAGTTCTTGAAGACAACATAATAATAGGCTATATAAAGAAATATAAAAATAAAAGCTAATACATCATATGAAAAATTAGATTGAAAAAAAATTAATGACTATCAGTCATTTATTTTGAGTCTAGTCAGTACTTAGATGGAGGAATGCTTGAGAACACAGGGTACTGTAAACAAAAACGAAATCCAAAATCAATTGAGCCTGAGGTTAGCAACTTCATCCCATTATACCTTTCTACGGAAACTACAGCAGCAACACCTAGTGTTTTTGAGAGCTGTGACCCAATACTCCTCAATGAAGTCTATGAGACTAAAGGAGGAAGTATTATAAACATTTTCATTATCTACAAAGTGGAAAGCTTGCATCAAACTACTTATTATTTCTATTTGAACAAAGCATTTCACAACTATTCACATATATTTTGGTGTATGTCAGGCCAGGTAACTTACAGGGATTTTCAAGTTGAACTGAGGGCAATAATCAACATGTAAAATGATAACTCCTCAGAAATTCAGAAGATATTGTTAATGCTAGGAACTACTTTTCAGTATTCATTTTCTCCATTAAGGCTTATGCTCATATCACATTGAAACATCAGTTCCCGTATGATCACTGAAGTTAAGCAATATCAAGCCTGGTCAGTACCTAGATGGGTAATTGCTTGGGAATACCATGTGATGTAAGCTTGGATGTACGGTCGTTGTAATGGATAATGCTTTGGAATTGTTAATCGGAGAGCTGAGTTCCAATTTCAGTTGGGTTGTTTATATTCACTTACATGCAAATACCTTTGGGAAAGGTATGAATCCACCTCTTTTCTCCAGCTATATGTTAATGATTTAGGGATACAAGATTTACTAATTATCTTCTCCCACCAAAAATTCTTACAATCCAATATTTCCTGACTTTAAATAGCCTACAAAGGATTGATAAACTGTAGAAAATGAATGAATCCATCAATATTTCTCCATTAACATCAGTCTCTGAATATTCCAAGTAAACATTAGTTATCATATTAACTTTCATTTATGATGTCATATTTAATAAATCATCTCAGTTTGCATCACTTGATCAATAAACAGCCTCAAAAGAATATGATTAAAAGATAAACTTCATTAAAATTTAACACCATCAGTAAATAAATGCAAACAGCTAAATTTACTTTCATTGTACTTTAATGCAAAAAAACTGATTTAGTATTTAACCCTGTAGAATATTTTCATGGAGATTAACTACTGTTCAAATAATGAGACACTTTATTTAATGCATAAAGTTTAATTTGTCATGGTTAGAAAGGGGGAAATTAAATTCTTTAATATAATATTGTAAAACTAGGAAACTACCCAAGAAAACTGGAAAGTTCTTTTCTCTTTATACAGACAATAAATTTAAAAGAAATGAAAAGGAAAATGCTTTTTTTTCTTAATCAGCTTTTTTCAAGAAAAATTTAGTTATAATTTTACAATTTTCCATATATGAAGAACTGTACATCACTATATTATAAAAGTGAGATTTAGTAAGAATACAGTAGGTTTTGTGGATTTCTAAAATGTAAAATAATTTTTTTCCTGATTATACGCATTGTACAAGAAAAAGTAGCATCATTTTGGCATAATTATTTTTGGAGACTGAACAAGAGTTTTAAAAGTGGTAAATGTATATCTGCAAAAGTATAAATAGTTTCTTTTAATTCCTATAATCTGGAAATAATGAGACAACCATGTAGAAAATAAAATTGTAGAATATGAAAATAATCGTTTTTGAAGTTGATATAACATCTAGTTTTCTTAATGGAGATTTTTTTATAGTGGTGGTGTGGCAATTTTGCTTTCTCACAATTTCTTTTCTATTAAAAATTGAATAATAACTCTTCTATATTTCAAGTTTTTCATTAGGTCTTTTTATGTATTTATATAGTCTTTTATATATTTCTTTATATTATTCATATATTTTTTTTGACAAGTCTTTATTTATAGAAATTAGGGTATAAATTTGATTAGATTTATGTCAATCTTGTGAATATTTAAATAGTTGTAGGGGAAATGAAAAAAATCATTAAGTTACATGAGTAATGAAAAATGAAAAAAGTTTTGGACATGTCTTCATTGTTAAGTAAAACAGTTAAATTTGTACATTTATGATAGACAAGTATTTCACATATTGTTTATATGTACATGTTATCTTAATATTTTATGCACATCAGATTAATTTATTATATAATTGAATGGTGTAAATGCATTTTGAAGGTTGGTGTTGTAGGAATCCATAGATGAAACTGAGACTGTTGGTTATTTTAAAATATACATACACGCAAGCATTGTTGAAGTGAAACTGGATAGAGAAAAAAAAAGTAAGAATGGAATTTGTCAAATGTCAAATTTTTTTTTATTTTATTTTTTTTTTTTGTGAAATTTAACTAAATTTGTTTTCTAAGATTAGGGAAAAGAGGTTACAGATTTTAACAGGATAGAACATTGATAATAATGAAAATGAATGCACCATATTAACATTCTCAAAAATACATTTCCTATTGAAACTACAAAAGCTATGTTTTTTTGGTTTTTTTTTAGAGGGAGAATTGAGTGTTTACCAGTAATTTAGCCACAAGTTATTATCATGTAAATTAGAATTTTTTTTCATGTAAAAGAACATTTGAAATGCTCAAATGAAAATATTTTATATAAATAATCACAAAACCAAAACATTATTATACCACTTAAGCAGTTGTAAAATACATCTATTATATTTTGTACATTTTAAGATATATATATATATATATATATATATATATATATATATATATATATATAGTTGAAAGGGAATTTATATCCCCAAACTATTTTTCAAGTGAAATTCTATAAACAGTATTTTATGTACAGTAATTGCAACATATTCCTCTCTATTTCCTAAACTGCTTAATTTTTTAATCTATAAATAAGAAAAGGTACAATATTATTCCCCATAGTAGATAACTGTAGTTACAAAATCAGTAGGACAGTTAAAACAATTATTTTGGTTTTTGTTACCACCATTTTTGTACTAGGTTGCAATATATGTAAAGACACTGAAAATGATCTTATGCAAATCTCCCTGATACATTTTTTTTATAATACCAAAAGTAAAATTTGTTGGGTATATTCTTCAAATAATGACATATAAATGTCATTTATCAAACTAACCAAGAGACTTAATTCAGTTTTTGACTTGAAGTAAGGTTTTATAATTGTAGTTAAGATCATTATCTATTGTCTGATTAATTGGTAAGTGTATATAATATAGTTACAGAAGAGTAAAGCAATTGATATTCTACCTAAAATCTTGGCAATTAATATAGAAAAAATCTATATTGTAATTTATATCAACAGAAAAGTTTATATGTTCTTTGAACAGACAGCATGATGGAAGAATGAACGATGGAAGAAGTCTCCTTGACATATAGGATATGATAATGTCAAAATCTTAATGGAAACAGTGCATGTCAGCAGTTGATGACATTTACTGTGATTTAGTTTATCACTCCTTGTCCTGTGTGAGCTGAAGAAATCGTAACATTAAATGAAAACATTTTAATTATACTATTGCAATTGACTGTGATACCTGTTAGTACAAAATTGTTTTGATCATGGTAGAACAGTAGAGAAAATACTCCAAAGTTCAATGTATCTGCTAAAAAAAAAAAAGTGTTATTACTAATTTAAGTATTAAATATGCTACTATTGAGTTTGTATGTTAATGAAGACTACAAAAAAACTATCCTGAAACTGAACCTTAAATAAATGAATTGTAAACTTGATTTAAGTTGAGAATTATTAATTCAAAAAATAAAATTATCTGACATGCAAAAATACTCAGAAAAATGTCAGATAATTTGATTGGCAGTTATAGCCTTTTTTAATTATCTCTGTCTCTATATTATTTATACTATAAGCACAATTTATCTTAGATTAGTGACAGCCATTCATCTGAATAGTTTCCTTATTAAAAAGTGCACTCCATTTTATTTAGAGGTTATTTATTTTCTTTAAACAGATAAAATTATTTCTTTATTTTGTACGTTATGGCACAAATGAGGAAATGGAATTCCTTATTTATTACTGTAAAAAGCAATTTGAGAATTAAAATTTCTATGTCTTTGAAACAAAATTTTTAAAATAAATGTTCCTTATATATATATATATATTATAATTATGAGCCTTTTATTATGGTCAAAGATTATTTTTGAAATTCAGATTATACATTTTAAATTTTAAAAAAACATTATGATCAGAACATTTTTCTTTTGTCTTATAACTATAATAGAGGATATAAAACATGAATTTGTCATTAACTTCATATTTTCATGTACATGTAGGCTTGTATTCAGGATGGATAATTATTTTGATATTTGTCTAACCAAAATAATTCTCAAATCCAAAAATTTAAAGATAAAATCAAATCATGTTTGAATTAGAAAAGACTATTTAATTCAAGAATTCTTTGTGAATTTATATTTTTATTTACCCGAAAACACTAAATTTTTCATAAATTTCAATGAGTCAGGATTTAAAAAATATTGCTATATGATGGGGTGTTTGCGATCAATTCTCTTCAGTGATGTGGACTGTACATGTATAGAATCAGTAAAGAATTGAACAGATTCACAAACAACTGACTGAAGGTCTTAGATTTTAAATTGTTTTTTAATGTTTAGTCTTTTTTTTTTTTTTAACACTTAATCATGTTTTTTATAATCTTAATTTCCTGAAAATAGATTGTTTCCTGTGCATTATATTCTTTTTAAGAAACAAATAGCATCCATTTTATGTTGGTTTAGATTGCTTATCAAAGTGTAATGAAGAAATTTGTGTTCCTCCTATGACGTTACTTCCCTTCTGGTAATAACCATTAGTAGTTTGATTCCATACTGTACCATTATCTACATTATAATTTTTTTTATCAGTTTTAGTAACTAGAGTTTAATTTTAAAAAAAATAAACAGTAATAATTTATAATAAATGAAAGATTTATGATAAAATTTTTAAGTGATAGGATATCAGTTAAACAGAACCTCTCGTAAAGAGAATTATAAATTTTAACAGTCCAAGTTTCATCATCTTTGTTTTAAATCAGGCACAGGACCATAAAATAAAAGGTCGGATGCTAGGCTGAGTCAGATATTGAATTTGTAAAATTTCTGATTCTGTATTTTTTATCTGATCCAGTCATAAAATTAATTTTTTATTATTAGATCTATTATCCTACTGTAAACTATTTTTTTATTTGATTTTAAATACACATTTTCTTGCTCTTCATTTGTACTTTTTTCCTAGAATTAAACTATAGACATTTGTACATATAAGACTTATACAGAAGTTTTAGAAGCTAATGTCTAAGATAAAAATATATATGTTTTATATATCAAAAACAGAATTGGGAAAACAAATCAACATTAACTGAAAACTGTTTTTGATGTGCTTAAAAAACTAGTAAATATCTCAAGGAAAAATGAAAAGGAAGATTCCTCTTCATATATTTTAAGTTGATTCTAAGCTATAGAAACATTTACCATTAATTGATAGCTTGGAACATTTTTTTCATGTCTATACAATGATTGATTTACCTTACTCACACTGAGTTACATTGACTGGATTGGTATATTATTATGTGAGAAGATATAGAGACTAATATCTGTTTCATAAAATAAA